GGGGGGGGGAGGGCAGTTAGGAGCCAGCAGTCCCAGATTGTGAGAGGGATGTCCGACTGCCGGTCTAGGATCGGGATCGGGCCTAAACTGACAGTCGGATATTTCCTGAGGGGTCCCGGATTGGAGAGGGTGCAGGCTGGGCTGAGGGAAACCCCCCCCCCCCTATTTCACAAATTTCATGCACCAGGCCTCTAGTATAATTATATGTTAGAAACTAGGACATATGTATATCTTAGAAAAAGACCTCCTCTGACAATATCTTATCAGAGAATGGCAAAATAACATTGAACAAAGAAACAAAACCACCCAAGGGAGACTAGACAGTCACTTTCAGGCGTGAACTACTGCCGAGGCTGCTGAAGCATCTCTTAAGAGGACTGTAACAGTCACAGCAGATGATGGTCATCATTAAAGTGACCGAGCTCTACTGTCCTGCCTATACTCTAATGGCATGAGTAGGTCTGAGGGTGGAACAGTCATAATGTTTGGTACTGGAATTATAAAATATTACACATTTCTGAGGTTGGTTCTGTAGTTTGCATCTTTCCACTATTCCTACAATGCCTTCTAATTATCACCTAATAGATGTTCATTCATTCAAAAAATATTTACTGAGTACCATCTGTGTGCCAGGAATTGTTTTGTATTGAAAATGTTGAGGAGAAACAGACAATTTACTTTGAGTAACGGACAAGTTCCTTAAGAAACTTCAAATCACACAGATTTCTCTTTTTTCAAACGAAGAGAGTTGAGGACAGCTTTAGAAAGAAACCCATCATTTATATACCTGTACGGTAGAGGTCTGTAGCACCCCTGAAGAACCTGGGCAAAGCTGCCTCCAGTAACATGATAAAATCTTCAAGCTCTTCAGTAACTCCCACCAGAAAGTATTCATTAATTAGGTTATACTTGGCTTGATCCATAGCCCACCTGCTTCCCACATTCCTAAAACCAAGAAAAGAAATTAAGAACCTGGTTGCTCAATCTGCTAAGTATTTTTGATGTCTTTGCCACTGTATATTATGGAAAAAATAGATAAACACATGTCCATCCAAAGCCTTAGCACTTTTATTAATGTCCTTTAAGAGACACATGTTTTTAATTTTCTTTGCCTCTATCCCCAGTTTCTGCTCAACTATGCAGTGCAAACTCAGACTTTACAGTTAGTTTAATATTAACAAAATTTAGTTTGAGGGCAGTTAAAAAATGTATACATAATACATATTTCTCTTATCTGATTTATTGTGCACTTCATATTTTTAAATTAAAGTAACTTTGTTCATTTTAAAAGCTACCTAGTAAGGTCTAAGCACTTTGTGTTTAGTGTTTATCTTAATTTAATTTGTGAGCGTAGGTTTTTCCATCATTTCTGAGGAACAGAAGTAAGGTAAGAAATGGTCCTGCCAGGAACCTTTTTTTTTTTTTTTTTTTTTACACTAGAGGCCTGGTGCACGAAGTTTGTGCACGGGGGTGTGGGGAGTGTATGTCCCTCAGCCCAGCCTGCACCCTCTCCAATCTGGGATCCCTCTCACAATCCAGGACTGCTGGCTCCCAACTGCTCGCCTGCCTGCCTGCCTGATTGCCCCTAACCACTTCTGCCTGCCAGCCTGATCACCCCCTAACCACTCTCCTGCCAGCCTGATCAACGCCTAACTGCTCCCCTGCCAGCCCGATTGCTCCCCTAACTGCCCTCCCCTGCTGGCCTGGTCACCCCTAACTGCCCTCCCCTGCTGGCCTGGTCGTCCCTAACTGTCCTCCCCTGCAGGCCTGGTCGCCCCCAACTGCCCTCCCCTGCTGACCCAGTCACAACCTAACTGCCCTCCCTTACCAGCCTGGTTGCCCCCAACT